GTGTGTGTGTGTGTGTGTGTGTCTGTCTGTAACATCTCACTGTCTGTATTCCTTCTTCTCTTAATTTGGCGTCGAGGGTTGAAAACATAACAACTCTTCATGTTTTCACGTCACTGGTCTCAGATTTTCTTATTTCACCTCGACTCCCCTGAACTCAGTGGATCTGAGCTGAGTGACAGTGGGAGAACAGTCGACCTGATCCTGAACCATTCAACCTGATGCTAATACAAACTAGAGCATCGCGCTGCAGCTACAAATCTGATCTGTGAGCTTCCATGTTTATCACCAGCAAGAGATCATGGATGGATGGTTTGATCAAAATGGATTTAAAAACATGTATTGTTTTATGTATAATTTAGAACATGATGTATACGGATAAGAGGAGATGTTCCTGCAGTGAGAATGAATGAGTCGGCTTTGTTTGTGTTAAATACGTGATATTTTGGCGTGTAAATTATTCATGCAGGTGATTTCTTGTCCTCGCAGCCTCAGCAACTGTAAACGTGGATTTTTTTTTACTCCCATTTCAAACAATGTGCGTTAGCCTGCGCGTGACCCACATAGACACGTAAATAATGTACCAGCGAGAAGGTGCTGCTGAAATCTGAACACAATTAGTCAGCAGGTACAGCTCCATCTCTGTGTGTGTGTGTGTGTGTGTGTGTGTTTGTGTGTCAGGTTGAGCTGAGTGTACAAAACTTTTTCAAATTACAACTGCGTCACCCCAGCTCCTCCTCAGCTCCTCCTCAGCTCCTCCTCAGTTTGCTGTGTGGTGCCTGGCTCAAGGGCAACTCAGTATTTCTCTCAGGTTGTCGGTCACCTCAGCACAATGGAGCATTTAGTCCATATTGAAGAAAACAGTTCTGAGATTGAGAATAATGTGTAATAATGTGTAATAATGTGTGTTCCACCTGTTCCACAACTTCTCAACTTTATTCTCTAGTTCCACTTCGTCCTGGAACTATCGACACTCTGTCTCCAAACCTCAGATTTGTTTGTCGTCCTTCATTTCACAATGTGACTGCATCCAATCACGTTTCATATCTCTCTCCCCGTCTCTTTCTCTCTCCCCCTCTCTCCCCTTGTTTCCCTCTCTCCCTCCCTCCAGGTCTTTTCTCTGTCGTTCATCTTCACTGTAAATAGAAGCTGCTGAGCGGCTCCGGCGTCCAGTTTTAATAGACCCAGTGTTTGGTTATGTAATGAATAAAGAGCTGAGCTGCACTTCAATGGCGTCCATAAATCACCTCGTGTGGTTTTCAGAGTCTCATAAAGCTCAGATCAGCTGGTCGTTGTGGACGCGGTCAACAGCTGAGGTCAGAGGTCAGACCGCAGTGTCTACAGTGGTGATCGTTAAAGGTTCAACTCCAAATATGCACGTGAGCGGTGAACCGAGTAATCACAGCGTTCAAGTGTCCGTCTTTAAAATCGTCTTAAAAGTAGATATTAATAATATATTAGTAATATCTTTGTGTGTGTGTGTGTGTGTGTGTGTGCATCAACCGCAGAGAGTAAAAGTAAAAACACCCAGAATGCATTTTATATTTCCTGTAACAATGAGAACTTAGACGGACTCCAAACTATCGTCGAGGACGTACCAGGATGCACGATGTTCGGTGAAGCTGCGTAATGAAAACATGTCTTATTATATATATAACATATTTGTTGAGCTCGCAGAACAAACCTGTGGTCACCTGAGTTTAAATGATCTTTACTCATTAACCCCTGAACCCGTGTGCTGGTGACGTTACTGTTTCCACAGCAGGTGTTGTGTGTCCACAGCTGCCATGTGCACAATGTGTGTTTGTGTCTGCTGCCCTGTGACCTCAGCTGCCCCCCCCCCCCTGCAGAGGTCTGGACCCTGCAGACCAACAGGTGCCGTCTGCAGCCTCAGGTGCTGGGACGCTGACGCCACCGCTCTGCTTTGATCCCTCCCGACATCAAAACGTCCAAACTGTAGAGTGACGTCACAAATACACTTTAAAAACGAGCAAACAGTCCAAACACACGGAGGCTTGTGTCACCGAAGGAAACAGTTGGTTTGCGAATCAACAACAAAAAGTCCCAACCGCGTCTGAAACATGGAGTTAACATGAGAAACAGTCTGAATAAGTTCAGCTCGGCTCGGCCTCGAGGTTTCCTGTCGTCTTCGTGCTCGTTCCTCTCAGTCGCCTGTAAAGATGAAATATGTCGTTACAAGCGCAGAACACACAAGACGTCTGCCCGCAGAGACAAAGTCCTGGTTAGCAGTGAACATTCCGTTCCTCCTGCTTAGTGAAGACGAACAACGCCACGCGCTTCAATTTAGTGGAGAACAAATGAAGTGTCTGCTGTCGCTATGGCAGCTGTGAGCCGAGTTTAGCTGAAACAAAACACGACGGAGCCAAATGAGCGCGAGAGAGGGAGGATGGAGAAACGATGATTCAAGGAATCTACGTGTGTGTGTGTGTGTGTGTGTGACCTGATACTATCAACTGTGCAATAATATAAAACACACACAGGCGGTGACATGCACAGTGAGTCTTTGTTTTAAATGTGCAGCTCGATTTCCAGTCAGAATCTGTTGCCTGATATTCTGGAGTCTCTCTGATTGAGGGTCAGGAATTACACGAGTGAGCGGAAAACCACACTGTGGCTAATGTTGTGTAGCTGGTGTGTGTACAGCTGAGCACCTGTGTCGTCACTTGAATGTTCCCGGTTCGATTCCCGTGTGTCCTCCGAGACTCTGAACTCCTCCTGTTTCCTCCTGAACGTGTGAGTGAGACGTTCTTTGAGGGCGCGACTTGAAAACGTTCTTTCATCCTTCAGGAGGCAAGTGAGTGAAAATAGTTACGACGGTAGATTTAGAAAAAAGTTGACGAAAGTAATCAGATTACTTGTGTGTGTAACTTCCAGACCCTCGGTGTGTTTGACTTCCCTCAGCTGGATGGAAGCAGCTTATGAATAGAAATACATTTAAACCCTCATTACGGACGTCAACTGTCACAGAGACCAAGGCTGTGTGTGTGTGTGTGTGTGTGTGTGTGTGTGTGTGTGTGTGTGTGTGTG